AATACATGCATAAAATGTCCTAAATTAGTTTTACAATCCATCAATTTCGTTGAAATTTCACATAAAATAATTTTTGGGTATATTTTTGAGCTAATCAAAGTTCAATCATGTACAAGCAGGGTAATGTAGTATAACTGAAAGTATCACTCGCAGTCATACTCATTTCTTCATCGGGGGTTTCACCAACATTTTTTTTTTGGGTTGCCTTTTTCCTAGGTGCTTCGACGCCATTTCTTCGAAATATCTGAAATTTTTTAGTTGATCTACGAAAAACTTGTAAAGAGATTCATAAAGGTCGGCTACAGTAATCAAATCTACGGTAGAAGCCTAGATTTGAACATATACTTTGTTTATAATATCCAAAAAACATTCAACACAACAACCATTAACGCCATTTCAATTTTTTAAATTTTGAAATAATTTCCGTTGCTTCGTTTTGTGTGATATGTTTTTCGGTGAAATCATTCCTGATTATTTCCAAAGCTTCAAGGACTTCATACCACAAATTTCTCAAACTTCTGCATGCATTCTCTCTAGCTGACCAATGTGTAAAATTCACTTTCTTGACCGTTTTGCCTTCTCCGACTTCGATCATCAATATCTGCCAGTGTTGTGTCGAACTTGAAAAATAAGGATATTTTTTGGAGCAAGATGAAGAATCGACAAGCTTCCGTGCAAGATTCAGCAGTCGCAGTTGCCACTAAATTCAAAAAGTGGGTAACGCAAGGAACGAAAAAAGTTAACAGTGCTTGACTCTGAATTTTAGCCTGTGAGCCATTTTATCTGCCAGACATATTTGCGGCATTGTCGTACGATTGTCTAAGGCAATCTTCAATACTCAAACCCAAGGTTTATACTTCTGAAGTAATGGCAGCAAACATTTCTTCAGCTTTATGTCCCATTGAGGGCAAAAACTTGAGGAGTCTTTCACAGGGTTCCCCTGTCTCTAAATCACGAAGGTGAGCTGGTCCACATGTGCCATATCCGGTGTCGAATCGATGATTAAGGAAAAGTATTTCGCCCTTCTTATATAGTCTCCAATTTGCTTCAAGATTTTGTGACTCATCAAGAGTATAAACTTATCACAAACGGTCTTCGATAAGTAACTTGTACTTCCGGATCCTTGATTCCCAAACCGTTTTAAAGCTAGTGCATGTTCATGATAATCCATACGTAAGATTTAAATCGGTAAAATTATTCCTAAATTATTTACTATATTCCAATTAAAATATCAAAATTATATACAAACCATCCAGTTCCCAACCTCCGACCAGTAGTAGAACTGGCATGTATTGGTTGATAGTGAGAAGAGGGAAATACATTTTCTACAATTTCGCTCTTTTCACTCATACAAAGTGTGGGCAGAAGGCGCAGAGGCCGATTATTGGTTGGGAGGGCGGCGAACTATCAAATCAAATTCATTCATCACGTCCATATAAATGTATAAAATACACATTATATAAGCTTATTGGACTAGTCATAACAGAACCTACAAGCTACAGCAATACAAATACAAAATATGTATACAGTAGAATCCCGGTTATCCGAGGTAATGGGGGGGGGACCCATCTCGGATAAATGAAAACTCGAATAATCCGAATTTATTTATTATTCGCCCAATAAAACTTTATGTTCCTAGATACGTGGAATGTAGATACGTACATTACAAAACAGTAAAATAACTATCTATTCACTTCTGTTTCATATTGCATCCTCTTTTTCTCGCTGCAATGTTCCGCCATCTATTAAGGAGAAATAGATCAGCAGGTGTTGAATCTGGTTGCTGCTCAATATAAATTAAAGCCTTTTCTAAAGCAGCAAAACCTTCTTGATGATATATCTTAGTGGCAGGCTCTTCATTCTACCACTTCGTCATCAACTTCTCAGGTTTCCTGCAAGGCATCCGTTATTTCTTTGATACTTAGTTCTTCTTCTATGTTATCTGTTGTAATCCATTCAACAACATCTTGTCTTGTCACATTCTCGCAACATTGACAGAACCGGAACCTTCACGGCTTTTCAATTTAGAAGGCAAATCATTCAATGGAATATCTTCTTCACTGTCATATAAGTCCTCAGAGTCAATAACTTTTGACCAAGATTTTTTAATAGTGGAAGCGCGCACAGAATCCCAAGCTTGACTCACCCAGTACATAACATCGGTTAATCCGGAGCTCGGTTAAACGCGACTCGGATATACAGGGTTCTACTGTATATTAAAAGTAAAAAAAAAATGAAAGTTACAAAAATACAAACATGAAATGAGTATATATTGAAAGGAAGTTCAAACTGTTCATAAATAAAAGGAACAATTTTACAATCAAAGAACATTAAAATAACAGTACGTTAAAGATAGTGATAATATTGAATAATGTAATAATGAACATACACTTACATCAAAAACTTTATCTTAAGAATAAAATAAGTTTTCTTCCAAGTATTTGTGAAGAGCGTTCCTGAAGCAGTTTAGATTTGACAATTTGTGAGTTGGACCAAACAGTTACTTAAAACGATTCAAACGCCTCATACCTTGATAAATATGATAGTTTTTCCCATTCGTTAGTCTGGAGAATGATTGTGATGTACATTTTCACGCTTTCTATTTGAATATTTGTGAATCGAAATAAGCTATGTAATTTCAAAACAATTTTGTTACTATTTGTCAATTGTATATAATTGAATACCCTGAGTGGTAGATGGAAAGCACAACACAAGTACTTTAGTTACTTAGGTGCATCCATCCTCACACTGAGGGAAATATTAACTGTAAATATAACTGCAAAAACTGTAAAAATGATGAATCAAGAAGCAAGGTGAAACAATGTGTAAAGGTGACATGGTGAATAAATTCATGTGTATCGCGATCGTTTTTCGGTGCAAAAAAAGTGATCTTTTGATCTTTAGGGTGTTATAATTTTGGAATAAAGGGAGAGCACCACGTTTTGATTTCAGAATCATGACCTGATTATCATTTCACATAAGTACAAACAAAATCTTTTTCAAAACCTTCTGAATATTCACCTTATAGACTCCTATACAAAAAAATTTATCATAATCAAAGGTAAGAAACATTCCACTGTCGGCTCGACAATGTTCGGAAAATTTAGCAGATGGGTCTGGCTACCAAATTCAGATTGGTCTAGAAATTGTACTTACCAATGAGCTCAGCAGGTTTGTTTGTTCTCTGATTGATAAAGTGTTCAAAGGCCTCTTTGAGAGAATTGCTAAATTTCTCGTTTCTATTAAAACAGGTGACCACTATATTATCCATAGAATCTTTGAAATCCAAAAGTTCCTGAACCATGGTTTTGTCTTTCTCAGGGTCGATTACAATAGTTTTTCCTCGCTTTTTTATGAAGGCATTAAAAGAGGAGCACAGCTCTATAAGGCCATTTTTCACCCGATTTAATAACTGGTATAACAAAGATAAATCAGCTACTCTATTTTCACTCAGCAGTTGCTCGAGGCCTTTTTGAAGAATATTAGTAACATGTTCACTAAGTAATTGTTTTTCAACAGTGTGAATAAGTTGATATTTAGTGCCTGGATCTAGATAATGAATCACACGTTCATTTTCTTCCAAAAGCCTCTTATCCACATGACTTAAATAATCTGGAACTTCCAACTCTTGCATAAGTCTTTGACCCTCTGAAGCATACAACCTTTCTGTTGACTGCAGGAACTTTTGTTCAAATGCCTTGTCATATATTTGTAAATCAGTCAACATTCTCAATAATGATTTGAGTAGGGTTCGGTCCACTTTGTCTCCCTGTCTTTCTTTTTCAATGAGCATCAAGAGTCCTTCAACTACCCGAGTTTGTACCAATGTGTTCAGAATTATATATTTACTAAATAGTTCTAGTCCCATATCCCAAATTGAAGAAATATTGGGATTTTGAAGAACATATGTCCGGTCTAAATACAAAAAAATACTCCTAATCATTATCATTTGATTACAGTGGGACAGCCAAGTATCGTTCATTTTCTTCAAGAATAAAAATCGATCCATAGACTCTGCTAAGAACTGTTCTATATTGTGAGATACATGACTTTCAGTTAAATTATATAATCTAGTATATAAAGTTGAAGCCATTTTATGATTGCACATATTTTCCACAGCTTGATAGAGTTCTTCCAAAGAATACTGATTAGGTTTTGACTGCTGTATTGCAAGTACTGCACTCTTTAGTTTCTCCCATGTCTGTTCTCGATAATCTTCAGGAAGCTTGGGTTGGCCTGTAAATAAAGTTTAATTAGAGCAAATAAACCTAGCACATAAATCCAACAGGTCTTACTTTTAAGATTTTTTATAACCAATTTCTTTGCTGTTGGTTTGATATTAATGAGGTTTAAATTTCTGTTAATTCCGTTTTGAGGAACATTGGAAAAGTTAGGTCTACGAGAATTATTTACTGTATTTTCACTCATTTTCTGTTATGTTTTCAAAAATTAATTTTGAAGGTAACTTTCAGGAACGTCCTGACATTGTTTTCCCAAACAAATTTCCATGCCAAAAATGGGATTGCGGGATCAGAGTATGTTGAAAAATCAATTAATTCTGTAATGCTTTTAGTTGAAATTACTATCACTTTTTACTTTTAGGAAGCATGCATATGTTTTTGTGAAAAGAAAAGAACAGAAACCGAGGAACGTAAGTCACAATGTTTAACTTGACCAGCGTTCAAGGTTGCCAAAATACTGTCTATTCTTCTTCTTCTTTTTCAACATTTGTTTTTTGCTCAGAGTAATAAAAGACATAGAGTTGCTATGCCTATACCAATACAATACATGTATTTTGAAGCGGGTATCGGACTATCCTTTTCTGTACAACTTAAAGGCGAGGGAGGGGTGGCGGGTAATGACAGGTTATGAGGAGTTTGTTTACATTTGAAGTTGGACCATGAAACAGTGGCGGTTAGTTTAGTTGATAATCGGAGGGATATTATATATTTATAAACCAATTTTCAATGAAATCACATAATAATATCAAATCTCAATCGTAATTATAAATATTCATGATTTCTAATCGAAAATTCTTCATATTGGACCTCACAAACTGTACCGCTTGTTTATCAAATCTGATAAGATAGACTGGACGTACGTCACTTTCACGTCAATTGCATGTAGTAAATTGTCAAATAGTGAACTCTTCTCAAGATGATTCAACCTCAATGTAATTCACGTTGAGTTCTCGAATTGTGACTGAAGGTAATACCACAGTATATACTTATATATAAGTATACTGTGGTAATACAGAGGCATCATTGTGACATTCTAATTTTTTTTGGTGTTGTTTGCTGGCAATTAACATATGATTTATATTGATTGCTATATATAATTTTTGAGTAAAAGTTTCGCCTTGTCTCTCTGGAGTTCTACTCTCGAATAACTTGGTCTCTGTGATGTTTGTTACCTACACATACGTTGCGAATAATTATGATTGATGTATTGCGTGCTGTTTTCGTGTAATGGAAATATGCGTGTCATTTTACGTAATTCATCGTAAATTGGGGTGAAATCATTGTAAAACATCATTTATTTCGAATTTTTGTGATGGAATTGCCCGATTTTTTTTAAAATAACACTTCATTGCAAGATTTTCACTTGTCAGTTTGCGAAACCACAACACGAGTTTCACTATACAATAGCTTCTCCAAGCGTTTTCATACTGACCGTTAGGTGCCGTTAGTATGCAGTATTCATTTGTTTACATATCAAATCCGTTTGACATTTGAAGCTTAGCAAAATGAGCTAATTGAAGTATCCTGAGAAAAGTCTACTATTCTTGGTGAATAGCTACATTGTAAAGAGAGAGGGGAAACTGTGAATGATAAATCTGTGAGCGGCAAATTACGTCATCAGTACAGCTGTGAACATGTGCGTCACTTTTAATCACAGAACAATGGGAAGATCCTATAGGAATAAATTCACACCTCTACCAGTAGAGCACAATACAAAACCAGTAGTCCGCTACCGTCGGAACCTTTGATGTTTGTGTCTCACAGTTTCATTTTTTTGACTACTGCGCATCCATAATCAACAGCCCGGAGTGGATTTATCAGCGTTTAACATTCTATACACTACTCAACACTCAACAAGTGAATAATAACACCGTATATAACTGAGCCGTACTGAACTGGATATCTGGTAATCTGGTTCGGCTGATTCATTGTGTATGATATGTTGTTCAGCGAAAGAATCATTAACTTGACCAAAGTAGAATTTAACAAAGAGGAAATTTCAACAATGTCCAAGGGGCGAAATATACACCAACAATAATTAATTAAAATAGTTTGGATAGGTTGATAACAGATAAACAGCTATTGCATTGAAACAGACAGATAATAGAGATATAGGGGCATACAAGATAAATGAAGTAATTCAGAACCATCCATTCTCTTTATCGAACAGTAGAGAAACAGGCATAATAAAAACTATACAACAAAGAAGTTTATGTGAAGTTATCCACGCTATTCTAGCCACGCTTTTTGACGTGTAGACCATCGACATCGGGATCACAGACCATTGGTCTGTGATCGGGATAGAGGGGAATATCCGTCCACTGTTGCCAAGTTTCACATAATTCCTAGCCACGCTTTTGTATGCCCCAGATTGTAACATATTATGGAAATAATAGTTCTTGAAAAAATTTTGGTGAGTATGAAAGTGGAAAAAATAAAAACTGATATTTTTGACATATTTTTTCTTATATCTCAGTTAATAGTGGATGATGGTTGATGAATTTCTCACTGTAATGTAGCACATTATTCATAGATGACAATTACAAGATCAAATCAGTTTGCAGTGCTGTCGGAGAGGGTGTGAAATATAAAAATTTGAATTTTTTGACATATTTTTGCTTATATCTCAGTTAATAGTGGGTGATAGTTGATGACTTTTCCACTGTAATGTAGCACATTATTCATAGATATCACGTACAAGATCAAACCAATTCGCAGTGCCGTCGGAAAGGGAGTAAAAATTAAAACTTACATTTTTTGACATATTTTTGCTTATATCTCAGTTAATAGTGAATGATCGTTGATGAATTTTCCACTGTAATGTAGCACATTATTCATAGATATCACGTACAAGATCAAATCAATTTGCAGTGCCGTCGGAGAGGGTGTAAAAAATAAAAACTTACATTTTTTGACATATTTTTGCTTATATCTCAGTTAATAGTGGATTATCGTTGATGAATTTTTCACTGCAATGTAGCACATTATTCATAGATATCACGTACGAGATCAAATCAATTTGCAGTGCCGTCGGGAAGGGAATAAAAAATTTAAACTTACATTTTTTGACATATTTTTGCTCATATCTCAGTTAATAGTGGATGATCGTTGATGAATTTTTCACTGTAATGTAGCACATTATTCATAGATATCACGTACAAGATTAAATCAAATTGCAGTACCGTCGGGAAGAGTGTAAAAAATAAACACTGATTTTTTTTGACATATTCATTTTGAAAGGTTTCAATGCCCCTTACTCTGCTGTCAACTTTCAATGGAATGAATTTCTACATTGAAAGTGGACGTTGCCCAGCAAGAACCACGTGGAGGTGTAGGGGTATCTCTTGCCAGGGATGGAAAAAGCAGGATGTGGAAAAAAAGGTATTTTTAGGAAAAACTGAGACGTAGTTGCTATGGGTACTCATTTCTCTCAGAAAACGCCTTGTAGCTCCGATCTCGATTCAAAAATTTCTATTTTCAAAAAAAATATGGAGTATATGGAATTCAAGATTTTGGTTAATGTAAATTTCGATGTGAAGCATATTATAATGACAATTTCGATAGATGATATAAAATAATTATTGAATGTCAGTTTTTGATAAATTTGATAAATTGTCTGCAAATCTTTAGCACAATTCCTGTGTCAAGTAAAAAGTCAAGGAATAACTGAGATCTGGTATCACTTGTATTGTNTGACTACTGCCACTGAGAGAATCAAAAGCCTATTGAAATAAAAAAATCTGTTCAATTTAGGAAACATATTACTCCAAAAAAGTTTATTTCTATATATTCGTTCTATTTTTAATACCCTCAAATGTCCAAATTACCGAATCACACCAGCACCTGTCAGTTATCTCAAGAAACCCTTGAATTTGATATTGATATTTATTATTTTTCAAGAGAAGTTCAGAACGTTTGTCACAAAAGGTTATTTTACCAAGAAAGCATGCCTCATTGGGATTCAAATTTCTACATGAATAAGGAAATTTAACCTCAACAAAGCCATCATTACCTATTAACCCATCTGGAGATCCAGCAATGAGCTGATATTCTATATGAATTAATAAACCAGAAAAATCACACTTAATGCTAGTTAATGCCTCATATTTACTAATTGCTTTCTTCTCAAATCTAATGCCATGACTGATTGCTACATGAGATTCAATATTTATTGGATTCGAAATGCGCTTAAATATATTTATCAAGCTATCATCACTTTGGTACTTTTCTCAATTTTGATTAATTCTTGAAAACATTTTCTATAATTTTCATCAAAATATTCAGAGCATAAGTTTTCATACCCCATATCCATTTTTGAAGGCGTGTCTACTTGAATTTTGGTACAAAATTCACAAAAAAAAAATCATCATTCAAAGATGTCTGAAAGTCTTTGATACATACTATCTGCACCCAACCATCACATTTGTCGCATTGCACCCAATCAGCCTGGAATTCCAACTATCTCCTTTTACAATACATGCATAAATCTGGATTGAAAATTCGTGACTGTTGTGATTGAGAATTTTCAAGTGCCTGTTTGAGTGATATTCCTAAAAAGTTATTTTGAAGCAACTTTTCTTTTTTTTGCCAGAATTCTAGGGAAGCAAGTCCTTTATTGAAGTCTTCAATTTGAGGTCTGCAACATTTTGTATTGGGAATACGAAAATGTCATTCTTTGAAAGTAAACAGTACATATTTTCTAATGTTTCTGATTATTCTACTACATTTTTGCCTCATAACTTCCTTAGCAAGAGTATTTTTCACAATACCAAACCATCTTTCAACTGCAGCATTACTTAGCCTTTCTTTATTATTTAAAAGAATGCCACTCCAGATACCCCTCTCTGTAGGCGGAATGTAAGCTCTGAAAAAATTATCAAAAAATTGTAAATTGCTGTATTTATTATTACAAGTGACATTACCTAATTATCATCAAAAGAGATTTTGACTACAAGTTGTTTAAAATATTGGCAAAACAAGAGTGTCTTCGAAAAGTTTTATTACATCATCAATTGAATAATCAACAAGTTTAACGTTACTATCACTCAGAGCATTCACACAAGATATTTTTAATAAATTTTGGAAGGCATTTTTGAATATAGAACTCTTTGTATTACAATGGGTTAAGATATAGAAGTTTTTAAANGTTGCATAATATATATTTCTACACCACTGACTCTGATTCAATAAAGTTTAGTTATTTCAAATGTAATTTCATGGAAAGAAGCCCCTTGTTACTCGTTAACAAAAACACGTAGTTCAATCAAAATCGGCGAGTTATAAATAAAAGTACATTTTTAGTAAAACTGTTACTCGAAAACGAAACAAGTTAGGACACACATTTAAATGAACTTTTTTCATAAAATATGACAAGTGATCACCCCCTGAAATAAATGACATCATTTAAGATACATCATGTATATCATGACAACATTTAAGATACGCCTTGTATATTTTCAAGATCTTAAACTGATAATTTCAGTTTTCAGCTGGATTTGGTTCATTTTCTTGTTGTTTATTATGATTATAATGACATGTATATTTTATATATACCCATTTCCTGTGTGGATTCAGATATGTTTCAACCTGACTGTCTAGATATTATTGATAACAAAATGTTTGTCAATAAGATGTTATCCACACTCTTCTGACAATAAATGATCATCTATCAAATTGTGTTAACCACTTTCAGTATATGATGAATTATACAGAAAAGAATGATTTATCATTATTATTAGTGTTTTCTATATTGATTAATTCCTTTAGAAGCCAACATTTAAATGATGAGGCAATCTAGCATAGCCTGAAGCAAGAAGTCGAAGAAAAAATCATCACTTCATTTGAAATACCAAATGACCATGGGAAGTTATGTTCTATAGGTTTTGTCCAGTTTCTCTTTCTGCTGAGTAGCGAGTGAGTCATCTGGAATTACCACTGTCTTTCTTACTTTGTTCTTCTTTATTTTCATGTTTTGTCGACAACTTGTCAGTTATTCTTAGTGAATTTATAACACTATATTTGTTTTTTCTTAAATTCACTATAAAAACGGAAATATAAAAAGTAACTACCTCACTATCTCAACAATTTCATTTAATTCTATTTAAATAAACTTTACACGTACAAAATAATACCTATTGGTTATCTCAGCTTATGCTGTATCATTGTTCAAAAATATGAAAATACGACTGATTCAAATGATCTGTCAATCTTAGTGGTACAAGGCATATTACAAGCACTAATTCTCAATAGAAGATATCACTCAGTTATATTATTCCCTGTTTTGAAAGGTGATATGGAAGCTCCATTATTGTTTGTCCGAGAAGGCGATGGCATATTGCTCTATAAAAAAATAATTTATAAGTGGTAATTTTTTTTTCTAAAAAATATCTTACCAATTTTGGCTTGGCTTTAACATTATTCTCATGATCAACATCAGACTTCCTCTTTTTTAAAATAACATCGAAATACAGGTAAAATTCTTAATATTTGCAATCTGGCAACACTGTTCGCATATCTCATTCTAAACCCTGTTCGATTGTCCTTCGTCATAAACTGTGGATGAAAAGTTGTAGGGTAACTTCACACTAATCATTTTAGACATATTAGATCAAGCCAAAGTAGACCATATCACTATGTTTTCAGAAAACCTTGCAATACAGAAATCACCATCCCAAGCGATTCTCTCCATCTAGACAGTCATAAATTAGCAGCCTACAATTCAATGCTGCCCAGAGCATTCTCAATGCCTTTGTCTGCAGACAATCTAGCTAGGGAGATTGATACAATTACACAGATTGGTCATAATAAAGGTTTCAACGCAGATACTATCCAGAAGTTAGTCAGAAAACAAAGCCGGAAATTCACTTGCAGATTAATATATCCTCAGGTCAAACAACCAGAAATCAAGAAATGGGTAACTCTATATTTTGGAGAAAGAACAGAGATAATTGCGGGTTTCTTCAGAAAAAACAATGTGGAAGTGGCATTCAGACCACATGCCAGGTTATCTCATTTCATTTTCAATGCCAAAGATAAGGTGGACAAGTTGGAGAAACCTGGAGTTTATAAGCTGAAGTGTCCAGAGTGTAATAATGTTTATGTGGAACAATGTGGCTGAACATGAAAGGTCCTTTAGACTAGGAAAAAATGATTCTACGTTTTCAAACCATTCCTTGGCATGCAACCACAAGTTTCCGAATCTAAACGATTCGGAAATGTTGCACTATGCAAGGAAGGGTTGTAAACTCAATCATTTAGAATCCTTGGAAATTCACAGGCATAAACATTGCGGGTGCAACCTGTTGAGTGATCAAATCGATTTAAATTGGCACATTCACATTGTGAACTGTAAATTAAGGTACTCGATCAAGCCAAGTACCTATATTAGTACCAACAGGGGTGGTATATAAGGGCTAATGTAATGAACTATTGTTAGTTTATTGTATAGATTGAAAATGTCCGTATAGGACAAAACTGCAGTAACGTTAGTTACAAATAAATAAAAGTGGTAAAAATCATAGGAAGATTTCCAAGCAATTTTGTTAAACGGGCGGAAGGACTTCGGTCGATAGCCAAAATTGTAATTTTGTTCAATAAATTACAATTATTATTATCAACATAGGAAGTTTCATTTCTCTTTTCTTCATTATGATTTCCAACCACGTAGTAACGGCTACATTTATCAATTTATTGATAATAATTCCAGTAACGTTACAGAGGGTTAACTGATGATTGATACTTATGGTAAAAATCATTGTGTCACTGTTTTTCTCCAAGTTTGACATCAATATCAGATTGAAAAACTAATAAAAGACGGCACTCGATGAGTAGAACACTTGATGCATGTATTGCAAGTCAAGATTTCTATTTTGAGCATCTGATTTAATTGTTTTCATTATTACCTATGCTGTTCTCCGAATGAAATACAAATTAACTGGCAGTTTGAATACGTCTTCCATCAACCATCCAAACAGATAGTCAAGAAACACTTTATTATTTAGTAAAACTGTTACTCGAAAACGAAACAAGTTAGGACACACATTTAAATGAACTTTTTTCATAAAATATGACAAGTGATCACCCCCTGAAATAAATGACATCATTTAAGATACATCATGTATATCATGACAACATTTAAGATACGCCTTGTATATTTTCAAGATCTTAAACTGATAATTTCAGTTTTCAGCTGGATTTGGTTCATTTTCTTGTTGTTTATTATGATTATAATGACATGTATATTTTATATATACCCATTTCCTGTGTGGATTCAGATATGTTTCAACCTGACTGTCTAGATATTATTGATAACAAAATGTTTGTCAATAAGATGTTATCCACACTCTTCTGACAATAAATGATCATCTATCAAATTGTGTTAACCACTTTCAGTATATGATGAATTATACAGAAAAGAATGATTTATCATTATTATTAGTGTTTTCTATATTGATTAATTCCTTTAGAAGCCAACATTTAAATGATGAGGCAATCTAGCATAGCCTGAAGCAAGAAGTCGAAGAAAAAATCATCACTTCATTTGAAATACCAAATGACCATGGGAAGTTATGTTCTATAGGTTTTGTCCAGTTTCTCTTTCTGCTGAGTAGCGAGTGAGTCATCTGGAATTACCACTGTCTTTCTTACTTTGTTCTTCTTTATTTTCATGTTTTGTCGACAACTTGTCAGTTATTCTTAGTGAATTTATAACACTATATTTGTTTTTTCTTAAATTCACTATAAAAACGGAAATATAAAAAGTAACTACCTCACTATCTCAACAATTTCATTTAATTCTATTTAAATAAACTTTACACGTACAAAATAATACCTATTGGTTATCTCAGCTTATGCTGTATCATTGTTCAAAAATATGAAAATACGACTGATTCAAATGATCTGTCAATCTTAGTGGTACAAGGCATATTACAAGCACTAATTCTCAATAGAAGATATCACTCAGTTATATTATTCCCTGTTTTGAAAGGTGATATGGAAGCTCCATTATTGTTTGTCCGAGAAGGCGATGGCATATTGCTCTATAAAAAAATAATTTATAAGTGGTAATTTTTTTTTCTAAAAAATATCTTACCAATTTTGGCTTGGCTTTAACATTATTCTCATGATCAACATCAGACTTCCTCTTTTTCTTTTTGGCTGAAATTGATTCCTGGCCACTGTCGTCATCATCAGAATCAGAACTATGGTCAGAATCTGAACTGGAACTGGAAGAAGAGTTACTTGAGCTATCGGAGGCAACTCCAGAAGGTTTATCTAGAATTATCCTATCTGCCAAGGCAGCTAAATTTGGTTCTTTTTCCCTTAAAGCTTTCAACCATTTCCTGGACAGTTTTGGTCTTCCTCTTGCAGTTTTATGCCACACTACAGGAAAATTTGTTCGACTACAGAAATTTTGAGTGACTGCTATGGTGGTATCCAGGTTGAGGACTACATGCCACCAACCGCCAGGTACAAATACAGTCTCGCCAGGTTTTTGGAGAATTTCAATTGGTCTACAATTGACAGGCCAATTTGGCTTTTTGGTTTTCGGGTAGATAACATTGAACCATGTTATTGCTTCATCTCGTTGTTTTCCTCCTAGAGGAACACTCACCTTCAGTATTTCTTTTGGAGTATGTGTAGGAAACAAGCACCATCTACAAAGAAAAACATCTGAAAAATACCTACAAAGTGACTCCAAACTACTTCACATACCTTTTATGACCCACTACAAGGGCATTCCAGGCACTAGTACCAAGTGGATCGATATGGATACCTGTTCCAGATCTAGCTGGTCCCATAACAAACCATCTGTATGGCGGTCTTTTGTTCTCTCCTGAGTATTTTAATAAATCATCCCTGAAATAATAGGGAACTTCATAGTCTTGTAACAACTTTTTTCTTCGACGATGCTGAAAAAATAAGTGGTAAGAAAGCATTTTTCTACTGACTAAACAGCTTGCATTCACAACTAGACGAACCCTCTTACCTCTCCAAAGTTGCTGTCGAAAATATATAATGGACTATCATCTTTTGTGTTGACCATATAGTGAATATAATACTTCATTTTCATTTTGACGCTATAGCCTTCGTTATCTTCGCCACATTTGAATTTTTGGTTTCGATATTTTCTGGCCAACTTTTCCAAGTTCCATTTTTCGTTGGCTTTCCAGCCTGATTGGCACCCTGTAATAACTACGGGTTGGTAAGGAAGTTCGTATTTCGAAATGAATTCTCTTTGTGAAGTTTTTGTCTGGTCAATTCTTTCACAGTTATCTACAAAGTCTTTGAATCTCTCGAAATCTGAACTATATCCTTGTTGCTTCCAAGATTCTTTAGTATTGAGTTCTGAAAATAAATTATTGATTCTATATATTTCTAAGAAAAAAAATAGAAATATAAGAAAGAAATTTAGTCTAGGACTCTGCGAAATAATGCAGGTTATGTATTACGTGCTTATTTGGTTTTACCTGGTCTGGCTTTTTTCTTGACTTCCTTTATTCTTTTGCGTGCTCGATGTGCAAATTCAATATCATCCATTACTTTCAAAAATGTTTATAAAAATCTCAACTAGTTCAAATGCTTACGGCTACATTCATAGATATACAAAAGTGGTAGTTTAAAAAACTACTAAAACTTTTTCATATTGACATGACACGTGACGTGATAAATTGACAGACAGTGACAGTAGGTTTGTTCTGGTTCAAGCATCCGAAACTGTTTCAAAACTGCGCAAGACATGATGCGTACCAACAAAAAATCTCAAACAGTATTACCACAGTATTCCTGTATATACAAAATACTGTGGTATTACCCCGTATTCCGTAGAAATAGTCTCGTACACTTGAGGTTTGTCTGGTTCTACGAAATTCAGATTCTAGGACGTCAGGATCATGCGCAGTTGATAGAGCGTTCTGGTTTATTGAGGCAGAGACAACCAACATTGAGGATAATTTCGGACTGATGAATCCTGTGTTCTGGTTTCGACTGCGAAATGATTCCAAACTGTCTTGAACCGTCCCGAATCGTTCTTTTCTTGCTCTCGAAGCTGAACTGTTGAGAACTGTTCCCGTTGCTCATGTGGAAATTTGTTTGGGCTATTTTCTAGGATGTTTTTTTATTTATTTGATTTAAATAAATGGAAATTGTTGTAGCAGGGCAAAAGCCTTTCGGACCGGTCTTCTTGCGCCATTGACTGTCGGAGAGTGCAACAGGCAATTGTATCCCAACATTTATACGTTGTTGAACATCTTGTCGACTATACCAGTAACCACCTGCACCCCGGAAAGGTTATTTTCCACACTTAGGCGCCTAAAAATCTACCTACGGAATTCTTTTGGGCAAGAGAGGCTAACCGGATTGGTCCTAATGGCAATTCACAGAGATGTCATCATCCCAACTAATGATGCAATAACAGAATTTGCCCATAAAAAAAGTCTAGAAGGCTTGATTTTGTATTGGGAATTCACTGAACTGGAAATTTGAGGTTTTTAGTTCAGTGGATGGCTTTTCCAGTACTAATGTAATGGTAATCATCTAAATTTGAATTAGCAGGTCTTCTTTATTGAGACCCCCCCTCCCCGAAGCAAAAATCTGGACACAGCAGCAGTTCTTCGAAGGACAAAATTGAGAAGCTGATAAGTAAAGTATGTGCAAACTTCGTACACCAATGATTTGAAATCGCTTGAGAAAGCTACTGTGCTAGCGAAACGTGATATATTTTTCAAATAACGTTTGTGAAATTACCATGGATCTTCATCAAGAAACAACCGAATCAATCAGAAAATTCATGGTCATCATCCGAAAAAGTGTTTAATAACATAAAGAAACCAATTTATTCAACTGAAGATCTTTAGAATCTGGGATTGTTCATTTTTAGGACTGAAATTATGTCCGTCAAGAAATCCATGTTGAAAAATTCTGAAATTTCAATTTACGACGATTTAACTAACTATCGCTATAATCTTCTCAAGCAGGCCAAGAAAAAATATGGTCATCAAAATCCGGAAAAGTGTTTATTTTAAGTGATAACATAAAGAAACCAATTTATTTAATCGAAGATCTTTAGAATCTCAGATTTTTCATTTTGAGGTACTAACACTAATCAACACTTTTCTTATATTATTCTTTTTTGTTTCTTATATTATTCTCTTTTTTTCAATTTTGTTAATACCTTTTTCTAGCTAACTGATGAGTATGACTTCAGTTTTTTTTTATGAATAACACCGTACTGGAATGTATAATTCAGGCAATATGTTGAAATATAATTGTGCTTTATTAGCCAATAAATTACTGTTATTTAATATTATACCATATGTTCTTCACTATACAAGTGCGTTAGCTTAGCTTATACTAGGAAAAATGTGATTCATTCACTAACTTGAAGCTTCACATTTCTTATCATTGAATATTATTATGAAACAAAACATATTTAACTTTAACTCTGCTCATTTGAATGTCAGGTCACTTCGTACAGGCTTTGATGAATTTTGAGACGTCTTGACCTCATAATCTTATTCTGTTATTGGTCTTTCTGAAACCTGGCTCAACTCTGCCGAAAATGCTAATGTGTATGAAATTTCCAAGTATAGGTTCGTGAGAGTGGACAGGGAAGGTAGGGGTAACTTTTTGTAGTCATGTATAAAGTTGTGGAAACTCAACAATGCCATGATTCTCCTTTAGAGAGTCTCTGGATATCGTCGGCAATTGCAGGTAAAAAATTATGTTTGGGAACAGTGTATAGCCATCCAGCCTCTATCTGGAACTCTGCAATAGAAAACCTAGAGAATTTACTTTTATAACAGAATACGATATTACCATTTCTCAAATTGTTGAGAAAATAGTTGGTATTCAAATTAAAGGTATACTTGCTAAAAAGAAAATTTTACCCATTATTCAATCAGGTTTCCGCCCTGGACATAGTACTCCAACCGCACTTGTAAAGGTTACAGATGATGTATTTAGAGCTTGTGATCAGAAACAGAGTAAGATATTGTTTTCAATTGATTGCAAAGCTTTTGAAACTCTGAACCATAACCTGCTCTGTAAAAAACTTAGATATTTTGGAATGGGGGAATAGGTGGTAAAGTTAATTGAAAGCTATCTGGGAAATCGCAGTCAGCAAACGACAATAAATGGTAAGTAGAACTGTCTCACGAGGAGTACCCCAGGGTAGTATACTGGACCCACTTTTATTTACCTTATACACAGATGATTTTTCCAAATATCTTATATTTTGTATGATTCATCAATATGCTGATGATATTCAGATTTATATATTTTTCCCGGTTAACATAAAAACTTCCTGTGATGCAATCAACTATGATTTCGAGTTCATTTTCAAACTTTCAAAAGCTCATTGCCTTTTATTTAATGAAACCAAGACTGAAATGCTAATCCTTGGGTATAAAAACAGCGAAATCATGGAGAGCAGTGAACTTCAAATTTCGATCAATGGTAGCCAATCAAACGCCTCGTACATATGTAAAAATTTGGGAGTTAATTTCGACGTCAACTACCTGTAAAATCGATTTCAGGCAGTTCGTTTCAGTAATAGTACATCGGATTTTAAGGAAATGAATCATGATGTATCCCAAGGCTCTGTCCTGAGGCCACTTTTATTCATTATTTTTGTTAATGAGCTAAGCAACTTCATCACTCCCTTCAAATGTATTCTCTTTGCCGACGATTGGTCATTTATATGTTCGAATCCAGATCACCAAATTTCGACTATAAACTCGGAATTACGAGATTTAAAGTTAAAATTCCAAGTTTAGTTTCGAAAAATTATGAGATTAATATCGATATTTCGAAACTGAAGTCAAAATTTTGAGATCAAAGTTGAAAATCCGAGATTACAGTCGTAATTTCGAGTGAGGACGATGACATCTCCCTTTACGAAAACGCCATATATGGGATCGACAAAAAATTCATTAATGTAAAAATCACATGATTTTTTTATCCTGAGCCGGGCTAAAAGAACATTTGCCCCTCCCCTTTGGGCTAGCCTGATATGAGAAAAGGCAAGTAGTAAATAAAACTGCAACAAATGAAGAAAATGAATTAGCGGTGATGATTTCAACAGCTGAAAATCCTTATGTAAGTACGAGAGAAATTGCAAGAGAGTTGGATATAAGTCATACTTCCGTGAACAAAATGTTGATGAAAAATTAAGTTTCGACTTTAATCTCGAAAGTCGTATTTTCCAAGAAACAAATAATAAAAATATGATTTCTGTCTACGCTTCCCTAGATATCCGCCTTGAAAAAAATTTATTAAAGTTAATAATAATTTCGTCATTGTTCGCAGAAAAGCTAATCTACTTTCAGTGGTCTGAATCTCGACATCCATTATGTAGAAACCGCCAGGGCGCCATAGTTCAGATGGCATATTTGCTATTCAATTGCAGAAAAATCCCTGTAAAATTTGAACTTTAACTCAATAAGATAATCTTCCATGATAAAACTATCATATCTTTCAATGAAAAACATATGAAGAGTCAGTTGAACCTTACTTCTGCAGCTATATACTGGTCTGAAGCTCTGGTTACCAAGGCATTCATTGGATATGTACCAAAGTATAATAATGATCTGAAATCAGAACTTGAACCAGGATAAAAACTACTCATACTACTAGTCAGTAGTAGTACGAAAACGCTTGAGAAACCTATTGTATAACGAAACACGTTTCATGGTTATTTGCGGTTTTGTAAACTGTGCAATGAAAATCTCACAATGTATCTCTCAAGTATCGGGGTATAGTGTAGTAAGACGAAAACAAAAGCATTTGACTATATAGGGTAATTCAAATTCGACCACCACCATTGGGATCTTCTAAACGACAGGAGATACCTACGTCGAAGCTTAAATTGGGGCAAAGTTGCTTTTTTTTTGTGCTCAACAAAATACTTAACATAAGTTTGCACAAATACTTCAGTCGAAAAATCCTCATTCTCAAATGAAGAAAAAACAGGATATTTTAAAACTTTATCATACATTTTATAGGAACAGTACGAAAATAACACAATTTTTTTTTTAATTATTTCCGTCAAGACAGCAGCCGGATAGAACATTATTTGGTATTTTGGACAAACACTTGGCTGAGTGCGGTGCATTTCAAAAACCAAGAATGAAATCATGAGCTTGTTAAAAATGCACAAAAAGTATTACAAGTATTCGAAATGATGGCCTTTCTGTTGAATATATAAGCGAGCTTGTCATCTCAAATCAAGAACAACCCTAACAATATCTCTTCTTCTGATAGATGTGAATTGCGTGATGATATTTTCCCTAAGTTCACCCACTTTGTCATATTCTTGCTCTTCATAGATTCAGGTCTTTAAAGTGCCCCACAAGACAGTATCCAAAACTGTTAGGTCAAGTGACCTTGCCGGCTACCTCACTGGTCCAGAATTTCCTAAGCACCTATTAGGAAATCTTTGGTGTGAATATTCGCAAACTGTTCTTTCATTGTGTGGAGGAGCCCTGACATGCTGAAACCAGCAGCTGTTATAGTTAACAAGGGAAAACGTATCCATATATTCTTTCAATTCGTTTCTTAAGAACCGTCCAAGTATTCGGTCGTTATAAATTACAGCCCACACATTCAAACCAAACCAAACTTGTGGTTTGACTTCTCTGAAGTGTCGTGAATTATTCTCATTCAAAATGTGCTCATTATTTCTATTAAAAACACCACAGTTCGAAAAAGTTCTTTCGTCGGTCCAAATAATGATTTTCAAGAAGTTTGTAGGTTCTACCTTATTCGAGAGCCAGATACAAAATTCCATCCTTCTCTCAGGGTCACCTGGATATAATTTTTATGAAATAGGAATCTTATAACATTTCAAACCCATTTTTTTGAATTCCCTCCAAACGCTCGTCTGTAGCACATCCATTTCTGTTGAGCTTGATGCATTGATTTGGAAGAATCTGCATTTATTCAAAAAAGGACCAAAAATAATTATACTTCTTCGAATATGGAAAGAACAATTATTTTACTGAGGCTAATAAGTTATTTCTAGTATTTTGTTCCATTCTGCTTCCATACTTCATGCTTGGTTTTTGAAACGCTCCGTACTCAGCCAAGTGTTTGTCCAAAATTTTCAATAATTTTCTATCCGGCTGTTGATTTTCCGGATATAAATCAAAATAAATTTGTGCTGTTTTGGTTCTATTCCTATCAAATTTATAATCAAGTTTCAACATATATCTCGTTTTTCTTCATCTGAGATTGAGGACATTTCAACTGAAGTATTTGTGCAAACTTTTATGATGTTTGATGAGTTCTGACAACCAGTGTTTATTAAAAAAAAATTATCGATGGAGTCATGACCATCTCAGATTGAATTGGTTTTTTTTATACATGTGGTTTCATAAGAGCAAATCAGAACAACAATATGGCGCCCATAATAGACAAAAAAGTGAATGATGATTGCCAGAAGACGAAACATTGTATAGTAAATCTGAACATGAAAACGTGTAGATAAAAGGAAGTTTCAATGAAAATGTGTTTTTTGGCTTGGAGCTATGTTGTCAAATAACGCTAAAAAATTACGAAAATTCCGATTTTCAGTTTTTTCCGAATATTTCCGGAAATACTCGGAAATTTCCAAGTTACAAAACAGTATTTTTTTAAGCACAAAAAACACAACTTTGCCCCAATTTAAGCTTCGACGTATCTCCTGTACTTTAGGAGATCCCAATGGTGGGGGTCAAATTTGAATTACCCTGTATATATCTGTTATGCCTGAGAAGACCAATTGAAGATGCAAGAAGATTCATGCAAATTCTCAACATTATTTCTGATGACCCTTTCTTTATTTGACGAACTGAACCACAAAATAGAAGAATAATGAGAGTTTTCGAAACATTACTTCAGTGCAATTTGTTATTTCGTTCAAGATTTACAAAACACTACAACGCTACAGTAATATTGCAGATACTTCTTTCCCATTAGATAATAATATTCTCATATACTGAACAAAACAACAAGAGCAGTCCTGTTATGAATCAAAAACGTAACTAGTTATATGCCGATGATTCGCATCAGCCACGGGCCCGACCAACACCCTCGCATTTTTTATGACGCCCACCAAATCGGCAGTAAGCGAGTTCTAGGAATGTTTTTATAGTAAAAACCATAATCCATCAGTTGTTTTTGACAGATATGTCAGATTGAGTCTGACAGATGGGTTTTAACAACTTGGCAGAGCAACATATTCAAAATGTGTTCATAATATGTTGGATAAATAATATTTGAATGTGCGAGGAATTCCAGAGGTTTAGGTAGAGATGGAATGCTTCCCAACCTTCATAGTTTCTTCGTTCTTGTGTAGTTTCAGTTTCAGTTATCAACATTCTTTTTGTCCCATGTTAGCATGGATAGAGGAACGCGCCACTCGTGGTTTTCTTATGAACATTAAGAAAAATCCGACTACAACTTTCATTAACTATCAATAATAATGCAATCAAAGTCAGTCATTACGAATTGTCAATAATTATTTGAATCTTTATTCAAATTCTTACTTTCTGATCAAAAATACTGATAAAAACTATCCCAAGAAAGCAACCGGATACTTCAATTTCGATAAATGAATGTCCTCTTTGTGAAAAATTGGAACTGAGGAAAGTAATGATCCATTTGTCCACCAGACACCGCTAGGGGTATGTTTTCCGATGGGTCTAAAAATTCAAGTTTTTTAATTTTGTATTATTGAGAAATTAAAGTTTCATCGGTAATTCCAAGCAGTTTTCATAGTTTTACTGACGGTGATGTACTTGGTGAAATCAAAATATTCTGAAACAACCGTGTCCCGTATTCCGGTAACATAATTTCAAGGTGAATAGAGGTTTGAAAATCCCCATTCAGTGATTCCGCTATTTTTACAAAGATTTTTAAAAGTAGTTTTTTAATATAGAATCTTGCTCTCATTTTTCACATCAGCCATTAACCTTCTGTCAGTGCTATTTGCAAATAAACTCTTGTAATCACAAAATTATTTTGTAATTACTATAGAATATTTTTATTGATAATAATTTTCGATAATTATTATTCACCTAACACTAAATTAACTTTCAAAAATTGATGCTTGAACGTCTTTCCTAATTTCAAATAATCCCCTGAAATCCAAAAAATCTATTGGTTACAGGGAGCCAACATAATGGATACGATTTTAGTAATATTTTCAATGTACTAGTGATTTCGTTTTACTTGTTTCAATGGTTTGGCATTTCTGACTATCAATCGCCGAAGTATCTAGTGGCAAAGTGTGTGCGTAAATCTACATTTTTATCAAAATATTTTGCTTAAACAAAAGAAAATTAGTTTTTTTATTGTGCTTTGTGCCTTGATGTTAATCACCCTCTAATATATCATCTGATGCCGCATCGAAAAGTAAGCTCTACATGCAGCACCAAAGACCGTTAGTTACATAAAATCAGAAAATTGGTGCGGACCTGGTGGGTGAATATTCATGAGGAAACAATAAACTTTTATCTGCCTATGATTCCTCAGTGTATTTACTGTAATCCACGTTTTTCATAAGGTAAAGTTTTTTTAGAATTTGTAGAAATGCTTCAATTTACTCTTGACCGTCAGCAGTTTTTGTCTTGTATATTATTTGTTTTGTCTATTCACTTTTTCAATATGGCGGCCGACTAATTTGGAAAAATTGTGTGGTTTTTAGTAAAATCGTTCTCATCATGACTTTTTTCCAGTTATTCAATGAAAATAATACTTTCAACAAGAAAAGTTACAATAAGTAATAATGTTTTTGCTAGTGGAGTGATTGCAAACACCAAATTGTCATAGGGTGACTAGGCAATACCTACTTCATGTGCTTTGCTGAAATGACATTTTGATTATTTTTCGATTTGAAATTGCTTATGAGAATTTATCAGTAACCATAGTGAAAAATTAATAAATAAGAGTTGAAAAGATAAATCAGAAAAAGGTTCTCAGATACTAACCTGAAAGTTTCTTGTTAGTAACCTTCCTTTATGAAGAAATTCTAACAAAGTGATTCCTTATATATAAATACTAGGTGACCCAGCAAATGTTCTGTAATATACATCATTTTCATGGGGTATCGTATTCATGGCAAATCAATACAATACTGAAAAAAATCTTTAAAAAATTTACTGCATGCATAGGGACACCCTAATCACCTAGCAGTATGAATTGTACTTTAGGACCTATTTTCATACCTACCAAATACAGAATAGAATAGAACTTATTCATCATTAAAATATCATACACATATAACATATACATTAGTACAATATTTATCAGACTAGTCACACAAACTGAAGAAAAAGCAGCTTATATATTCAAATCTAAAAGTTCTTTGACATTGTGAAAGGCATTTTCTAGGAGAAGGTCTATTAAAGCTTTTTTGAATGTATTGTAATTTTCAATATTTCCTAGTAACCTAGTTGCTTTGTTATAACATATGACTCCTTGATAGCTTGCCGAGTCTTGCCCAAGGGCTAATCGTGAGTAAGGTAGTCTCAGTTCATTTCCTCTGCGAGTATTGCGATCATGTATCATACTGTTTTTTTGTATGGTGTGATTTATTTCTTTTGATCTTCATAGTTATGAGCAAAATATATAAAGACAGTAGTGTTAAAATAGCTAGATCTTTAAAAACTGTCTTGCATGATTGTCTACAATGTATGCCAGCGATACATCTAATTATTTTTTTTGGATAACAAACACTTTAGTTTAATATTCTGAGTTTCCTCAGAATATTAACCCATTCGAGATATTAGATTGTACTAATCCGAAATTGGCCAATTTGTGTACTTCTAGAGATACTGTTCCATGTAGTTGTCTTATTATGAAGCAGACTCTACTCAGTTTTGTTATTAGATAATCTGTGTGTTTTTGCTAAGTTAACTTCTGATCGATTACTAATCCTAGATACTTATATTGATTCACCTGCTCTATAGATCTGTGATGTATTTTTATTAGTGAACAATGATCATTATTAAGATTCTTTTGTTGATAATTCATGAACACAGTTTTATTTACATTAACAAGTAGACCGTTATTTGTGCACCATTGTGAACATTCATCAGCAGTTTTACTTGCAGCTTGAACAGAGAGAAGTTCATTTTCTGCTACTATTTGATAGGTATCATCAGCATATATTGTTTTTTGTAGAGATACAAATGAATTTTCAATATCACTCATAAATATTATAAAAAGAAGTGGAGCCAATGTTGAGCCTTGTGGAACTCCTAATGAGACAGAAGATGGTTGTAATTTTATTTCATACACAAAAAAATCATAAAAATCGGTGGAGCCGTTTCAGAGGAGTGCATCCACAAACACTTGTCATTTATGTATTAGATATAATCTCATTCAGAAGTTTAATGAAATGAGTGAAGATATTGTAGCTATACAAATCAAAAAAATCCTAAATGTACTTCGAAATGAGTAACAAAAGGAAATTTCTTATTATTATTATTCGATCATTGACAACAAAGATTTATTCACATATATTCAGTGGGCATACTTGAAGACCGGCTGTAAGTCAAATAAACTAGAAGAACAATTTGTTTAGGCCAATCTCGACTTCCCTACACTGTAGGTTAATGGACTGACACCTATCAGAAAAAAACTATACTCGGGCTAATACCACGAAGGGTGTTGAATTATATCTCCATTAGGTGTTAGTGCAGCAATCTTCACAGAAGAATTTTCTGCATATACTGTTGGCTGGAATTGATTTTCAATTATAGGAACTGGCACACTTGCAAACCAGTTTCGGACTATTTGGTATCTCGTCACTGCAAGGTAGTGGCCTTCATCAACCTAGAGTTGATGATATTAAAATTGAATTCCTTTCAGACTATCATTCCTCTAACCCGTTCTCGTTCCTATAATTGAAAATTGATTCCAGCAGTTGTATCGCCAACAGCATATGCAGGAAAACTTCTGTTAAGATTTCTGCACTAACACCTGTTGGATATAATCCAACGGCCTTCGTGGTATTAGCCAGGGGAATAGTTGTTTTCTGATAGGTGGCAGTTTATTAACCTACAGTGTAGGTAAGTCGAGACTACCTGAACAAATTGTTCTTTTAGTTGATTTGATAAAGATTTGTAATCCAGTTGACTTGAAATAAATTGAATTGTGTTAGTATCAACCTTCCTACAGCCCTTTTGAGGAACATCAAATATATGGAGCTAGAGGAAAATGCATAATCTGCTAAAAAAAAATCCTGCCAGACTACTCATGATACTATTCAAAATTACATATGGATTTCCTTGGGAGAATGGTTCTTGGGCTTACCATACCATTTTTCTAATGCACGCATGTGCCGGTTATAGATTTTATATTTATATTATCATATAATCAAATAATCTAATGTACTTTCAAAGCTTCACATTAACTAGGGGTGTAATTAATTACTTATCATTCTTTTTGTTTCAGCTGATTCTCGATATGAAGTAGATGTCCAAAATTTATAAAAATGAAAATAGACAGATCTAGAGTACGTAAAAGCACTTCAGAAGTACCTTTAGAATGTCAACAGTTGATAGAACGTCTACAACAATGTTCACGAACAGAATTATTGGACGAGCTATCCAGGATTCATTCTTGGACTTTTGGAAAGTGCGAGTTATTGCACTGGGCTCAGGTTCTTGATGTTTTTGACAGATTGCTGGGTTCTGCTGCTGAGCGCAATGAGGAAAATAAATGGATTTTGAAATGTGACACATATAATGAGCAGGTGAGTAACCAGAATTGTAGGCTAGGTAGTCGTTGTCTAATGGAGGGATTGGCTCAGAGTGATTCACTCTGCAATGGGAATCCTCAACGGTAGTTACCAGCAATGCCTGGAAACCTCCTGAATGGTACACTCGTTAATGAGACCCTATGCTTTGTGCCAGTGGTATTTATGGAGGAGGAGTGGAGGGAGAACTCTTTTGATTGGCTTGGATGGTGTTGGGGTTAACTGGGTATCAGAGAGCTGGATAACACGTTTTGTTGATACTGATGATTAACTTTTTTTGATCGAAGTTATTTTTCTTAATCTCTGGCTTCTTGGTTCATATGCGTGTAATATTGGCATGTAATGTGAAGCACGTCTATTCAATCAAATTATCTCATGGCGTTGGTACCCTTAGCTTTTGAAGTCAATACAAAAGATTAGTATGTATTTGTGAAGTAAGTACAGATTTGTCGAATATAACTGAGAAATTAAATAGCACACCGTTTATTCTACAATTAAAGTAGTTCAATTCGTTCATTGAAAAAGTTGACCACCACTGCTGTAGTCAGTTTGATTTGTCCTGACTCATTGTTTTCGAAAAGATTGTATATTAAAATCCTTAATGTTTCTTCAAAGAATATTTGTTATCAGTGAAATGCTTACATTGTCTGATAAGAAATAATAATTGATAATTCGGATGAGTTATAAGTCAAAACGATTTATCTTCACACATATTATATGTGCTTCAGAACCCCATTGAATATGAAGTGAATCGGAAAAATCAAAACCTTGTTTGTTTTTAAATGTTTTCTTGATTTTTCGATAATTTAGAATGTCAATTACATTTGTTTTCCGAATCTTAGTAATACAGAGAATTTGCATTGAATTAAAAAAAAACTATCAGACAAATTTGTCATAAAACTAGGTTTATTTATATGAGTAGACCCAACTGGGTCTCCTACTCTGTGAAGGGAAGAGGTGTCTCATCTCTTCATAAAAGGTTACCTATGATTAAAAGTTGAATATGTTAAGAAATTAGATCTTTTGATAGAGTAGAATTTGAAGTTCAACATTGGAAATGAAAAAAAAAAGGTGAAGATATTGATGGTCCCCTACTCTGTGAAGGGGAGACGAGTCCCATCTCTTCATTAAATGCAAAGGTTACCTATGATCGAAAGATGAATATGTTAACAAATAAGATCTTTTGATGGAGTAGAGTTTGAAGTTTTCATTAGTTCGGACTTCCATTGATTTGAAATACCTGAAAGAATCTATAAAAAATAAAATAAATGGAAAGGGAGGGGGGTCTTGTAACACATCTTTTTGAAGCTCCTGACAAATGCTTCACAACCCTAGAATATAATGTCAATATATTCAACTACTACAAAATGGCTGAACTTTTGATTGTATACATTGTCTGAATACATTGACATTTAACTAAATAATATGACATAATAAGCTTGAGGTCAGTTTTGAAGATGCTCTAAATGGGTGCCTTGAACTTCTTGACATATGAACAGCCTATTTGATATTTCACGCCGAAAATTTTCGAACACAGTAACGTCAATATCTCTACAAATATTTATTATTCTCTGGCGTATATCCAATATTGAAGCAGGTTCAGTTTCGTACACCTTTTGCTTCAAATAGTCCAATAAAAAAGTCCAAAGGTGTCAAATCTAGTGAGCGGGCTGGCCATTCTGTAGGACCTCGACAGTCAATCCAACGACTGGGAAAAGTAGTATCCAAATAGTTTCTTATTTGTTTGGAGTATGTGGTGGTGCTCCATCTTGTTGGAATACAATATCCATATCGAAGTCATTAGGATTCACTTCAACGATTTCAGTGATGAAAGGGTTAACAGTAGTTTCTAGCATATTCAAATACAGTTCCCCTGTTAAATTTTGATCAATAAATAGAGGTCCTACAATATGATTTCCCAAGATTCTTGCCCAAACGTTAATTTTTTCTGGATATTGTGTATGTGTTTCCCACAAAACGTGAGGGTTGGTGTCACTCCAATAACGGCAATTTTGTCTGTGAACATTGCCGTTTAAAAAAAAATTACATTCGTCACTAAAAGAAATATTGTGGTGTAGGATGCCTTGCAATGGTTTCCGTCATGATTTCGCAGAATTCTGTTCTTCGATCAGGGTCATCTTTCGTTAATTGGTGTTGTGTAGTTGTGAATTTGGATACAAATTCCTCGAATATTTTCTAAAGTTATGCGTCGCACCGTAAATACAAATCGCTTCAATTTTTTCTTCCAATGGACGAGAATTGACCATTTTAGAGATTGTTGACGTGGTACCTTTCTACTTGTTAAACCGAAAACTAAATGAGAATATTCTAACTGAACAATGATGTTCATTGTCGTATTGACATTTTTTGCCGTTTTTATAGACAAAAAATAACTTAAAGCTTATCGGGTTGGTGGAATTACCATGTGGCAGATAAAAAGGAATATTTCTAGAAATATCGATGTTGTAGTAGGTGAAGATATTGACTTTATATTCTAGGGTTTATATTCTAGGGTATTTGTCAGGAGTTTCAAAATGATGTGTCACACGATCCCCTTTTCCATTTAATTTTTTTCCCAGATGGCGCCCAATCGCCATCTTGAAAGTTTCATCTGTCAATTTCACTTCAAAATGAAGTATTCATGCAATAATTTCATTATCCCAAATTTTAATTTTTTGTATAAAGTAATATCACGTGAATAAATCATTTAATGTAAGTACTATTCATACAATCCTGTGTTGAGTAAAACCAGTTCTTTAAAATGAATTTTTTAACTCTCCTTTTTATGAATCTCTAGCAAAGTGTTTAAAATAAATATAAAAGGCTGAGGCAGAATTTTGTAAAAGATGAAGAGAGGTTGAAAACCTATTGCATTCTGTGTTTCTAAATCCACATCGATAAGCCAATTTAAAGAGATCTTGGACAAAAACCTAAATTATGACAACTTACAGACAAAACAATCTAACATTCTTTTGTTCCAAAATGAATCAAAATGACCATTCACGGTCTCAGTAGAAACCACAGAAGAATCGGGAAATAATATGGTTTGATATAATAATTTGAAATTGAATCAATAGGTACCAACTAAATAGGTATAAAGAAGCAGCAAATAATTTTGTAATATACTCCCCACTGTTACTAATCCATTATAAAATTTACATACCATATATCCTAACAATATGTAAAGGAATAATTAGGTACATAAACGAAAGTTTCACAAAAAAAGATTCGAAAGAATGATCGCAAGCCAATATGAAGTATTTAATGTTAGAAGGATTCAATAGAAGATTAAAGAAAAATCTGTGCAATGTAAACCTACAACAACACTCCTTATTACATTCGAAGGGACCAGTCTTTCTGAAAGTATAGACCTATTCAAGAAAAACTATTGTGAGATTTTCACTAAACATACAATACAATTATATATAAACAAGAACTTACTAAAAGAAGTCGAAGTTTACAAATACTTAGGACTGTTGATCGATAATAAACTCCTGTGGACAGAGCACATCAACAAAGTGATAACAAAAATTGTCTCAATGACAGGAGAATTAAAACACTCTGCAAAATATATAAACCACAATGTCAAAAACACAATATATTACAGCTATATTGAATCACATATAAGGTATCTCATACCATGTTGGGGCAATGCATCACAACAATCAATTAACAAACTAGGAAGAGCGCAAAACAAATCAATAAAAACTCTGTATAACTTGTATCGACTAACTTCCACAAACATTGTTTATGAAATAACGGGATACCTGAAAATAAAAAAATCATTGCACTTGAACAAGTTAAATTTATACATGGAATCTTGAATAAATACATCACAATACAATCACAATACAAGAAATGCTGTAAGACTGAAACAAATATACATGAGAACAAAGAAAAATCATGATACACCTATCTATAGAGGAATCCAGCAATACAATAAACTTCCTGTAGACTTCACAAACATTGCTTCTATGAGTGAATTCAAAAAACTTTAAAAAAATTTTATTCGAACATGTAGATAACTTTATTCACAGTAGAAAAAAAATATAATACAAATACATGAAGTGAACAAAGTGATTTAGGATTAAGTGCAAAGCACTTGTTTCAATCAATCAATATTTATTTCCATTTTCATGGCTTACATGTAATGGAATTGTCAATTGGCAGGTAAATTATTACATTAAAATAAAAATTTACATCAAAAAAGAAAAATAAAAAGGTTAAAATACAACAACACTGAAATTTACATGACATATATTCTTCTGGGAGATTGTTGAATATTTTGAGGCCAAAATGATCAGGAGCACATCAATTTATTTTTCTTTTTGCATAATGTTTTCTTGTTCTATAACCATGAACATACGAATTGTGAATAAAAGTGTTCTTATTTTTAAAAACATGGACACACATTGCGAAAATGAAGAGACATGCAAGCGTCAAAACACGAAATGTTTTGAAAATAGCTCTACATGATTCTCTGTTAGAAACTTTCGCGATACATCTCAAAATTCGTTTTTGTGCAATGAAAATATCTTTCCCACCTGGAGAATTGCCCCATAGGCAAATGCCATATCTGAGTCTCGATTCGAATTGGGCATAATAAATATTCACCATCTGTTTGACTTCTAGAACAGATCGTGAATTAATAAGGAGATATTTCAAAGAATTCAGTGTGGAAGATAATTGTTGGCAATGGAATTTCCAAGAGAAAAATCAAAAACTACACCTCACGATTTGATCTCCACAAACTTTATTTAAAAAATATATCACAACATGTTTCGCTAACACAGTAGCTTTGTCAAGATATTTGAATACCTTAAGTTGTTTCTTACATTAATATTTATATACTACAGGTAACCATAATTGAGACTACCNATAAAATAATTGTTACAAAAGTCTGCCATTATTTTTTTATCACTAATAAAATCTCCATTTTCATCAGTAAGTTTAATATTATTTTCTTTCACTGTCTTTGTGTTTGTAGCGTCTGCGATTAAATTGTAAATTTTTTTCATATTATTTTTACAGTCATGGATATGTTTACGGTAATATTCATTTTTAGATTTTTTCAATAGTTCATTCAGTTTATTTGTGTAAGATTTGTATTCCTGCTCTAATTCAGGAGAAAAATTGTTCAGTAGCCTCATTTTCAATTTGTTCCTGTTTTTAATAGATGTGATAAGTTCTTCTGTTATCCAGGGTTTAATTTTAATTACTTTTTTTGAGTACTTAAGGGGGATTTTTGAATTTACTAGGTATTCATTTGATGTATTCATAAAGAGATCAGTTGCTTTCTGAGCTTCATTAAATAATAAGATATTTTGCCAATTCTCTTCTTTGATTGAGGATATCAATTTATTTTTGCAATTTTTGCAATATTTAGTAGTATTGGATAGTGATCTGTGATAAAACATTTAAGAATGTATGTATCAAATATAGCATCTCAAAACATAAGCTGGTATGATGAAGTCATGTTTGTGAGAAGGAGAAGTTCTCCCACTATACTTTCACATGGTGTTAATTTGTATAAAAAGAGAATATCGGTATAGGAGAGAGCAGTCAGAGTTTCTATAAGTCATCTCTTGATATTTCAAAACGAATTAGTGGAATGCCGTTTCCAAATGAGTGGAATGAAAAACCAAAAGTGTGCGTCTACCCAATGATGATTGCGAGGGCTATTGTGTGCTACTTTTGCCAAATAAGTAGACCTAAGGAAACCAATAATCCATGCACTGGTATGTGCAATGATTGTGAGTCGCAGATTCAGCTATCGCCTCCATCTCATCCACCGAAGCGAACAAAATCAGAATATCGTCAGCAACAGTCACAATGCCTGAAGTGTTCCGAACCTATAATATTCAATAATATTGGTATTTGTAGAAATATTTATAGTACCTGTGCTGCTGTTCCAGCTCCGCTGCAACGTTGTTTGCGTGGCGATACATATTCTATGAATTGTTGGAATCATGTATGCACTACATTTAGAAGTACTTGAGATCCATGTGAGAAGGTTGGTCAACTCTACCCCAATAGGAGAATTCATTTCTT